TTTTCCGTCTGGAAAAACTGGAATGCTGGCCAAGCCCAAGAGTCGCTGGTTATGCAACTCCTGCAGTTTGTTGGCCAAGTCAAAAAAAAAAAAAAGCGTTACTTTTCTGAAAACGAAAGAGTGCATTGAACTCGGTACACAGAAACACCAAAAAAAAAAATTTTAACATGTAAAATCTTTAGTTTCGGAAAAAAGGCTTCTAAAAGTATGCTGTGAAACAGGAATTCCCGACTTCCGGTTTCAAAAATATCTTAGCATACTTTTAGATGCTTTAATAGGTGATTTATAATCTCTAAGGATTTTTCACACCTTTTTGGGATATTATTGGGATCTTTATAAAGAAAATTAGATAAATTCGGTTTAAACAAATATCTTGGCATACTTTTAGATGCTTTTATATGTGATTAATAATCTCTAAAGATTTTTCAGACCTTTTAATGGGATATTATAGAGATGTTCATAAAGAAAATCAAATATAATGGCTATATTTTTGCCATATTTAATCAGATTCTGATCTGATTTATCCATTATCCCTGAAGTAAACCTGTTTCTTAAGCAGGAAACCGCAAATGCGGAATTGCGATCGATGAATCGAGTGCATTGGTTCGATCTTGTTACACTTTCGTGTGTGACTGAGGAAAGTGAAAGTGGGAAAACAAGTTGACTATAAGGTTTTTCTTTTTTCCTATTTTTCCCCCCTTTTAGCCGTTTCCGCCGCCAGCAACTTTGAGTGCCCGAAGGCAAATGGCCAGTTCGCCGATGAGGTGCAGTGCGACAAGTTCTACGTCTGCGACGATGGAGTGGCCAAGGCGAAGCTCTGTCCCGATGGCCTGGTCTTCGATCCCCTCAACCGCAAGTTCAACAAGTGCGACCAGCCCTTCAATGTAGACTGCGAGGACCGCACGGAGCTCCGTAAGTGGATCGCTATCATTATAAATTAATTAACTAGCCATATGCTGCCATTGCCCTTACCCTCGGGAATAAACCAGTTTATGCAACGTATTACGAATACGACCACTAAGTATGTCAAGGCGAATTCAACTTGGCCATATGGATAACAGATCACATTTAGTGGGTATTAAGGAGAAAAAAAACAGACCACATTTTTCAGGCTATTGCTTTCATTTTGTTTATCGTATTTATTATGAACGAGTTATATTTACTTTTTATTTTATTTTATTTTAACTGTCTAAAAATTGTTAATTTCTTTAAATCAAATTTACACTTTAAAAAAACAGTTCAATGGTAAATTGCATTGCTTTAAATACAAATAATTGTAGTGTACTTTTAGGCTCTTAATCCTGAGAAATTAAAAACCACTTTTTTTTCTAAATTTCTGCATATTGAAAGACTGATTAAAAATATATTTCACAAATTCCATAAATTATTTCATATATCTTGAGATTTCTTTTTAAATTGCCCTGAAAACTAGAGCTTGAAAAAATATCGACAGTTTTCTATTTCTCGATATTTAATATGTGCTTTCCCATCAAAATAGAGTTTGCAAAAATATCGATTGTTTGCTATTTTTCGACACTTAAAAGTAGTTTTCCCTTAAAAACATGGATAATTTCATATAGATATTGTTAAAATATTAAAAATATCGATACTTTTCAAGATCTACTTCAAAACATCGATGATATCGAATCAATATTGTGAAAATATCGAAAATATCGATAATTGTCAAGCTCTTCTTAAAACCCCTAAGAGATTTACGGACTAATTAATTCTAATCCCCGTAATCCTTTACAGAGGAGCCCAAGTCCAGCAAGTACTGCCCGCGCAAGAACGGCTTCTTCGCCCATCCCGATCCCGCCGTGTGCAACATCTTCTACAACTGCATCGAGGGCGACGCCCTGGAGACCAAGTGCACCGTGGGCCTCCATTTCGATGAGTACTCGGGCACCTGTGTGTGGCCCGATACCGCTAAGCGCGAGGGCTGCAACCCAGAGCAGAGTAAGGGTCCCCTTTATAGGTCTTTAAGAGATTTTCGAAACTAATAAAATATATTTTTTAGGAACTTCCGAGACCGGCTTCGTGTGCCCCAAGGATCAGCCCAAGACCGACGATCGCGGCCAGGTGGTCACCCATCCCAAGTACCCCCATCCCACCGACTGCCAGAAGTTCTACGTGTGCCTGAACGGCGAGGATCCCAGGGATCTGGGCTGCCAGCTGGGCGAGGTCTACAACGATGCCACCGAGATGTGCGATGCCCCCGAGAATGTCGCCGGCTGCGAGGATTGGTACAAGGAGGACGACAAGAAGGACTAAGCCACTCGGCCGGTTGGCCCTTCTCATCACACAATCCACCAGCACCACCACCACCACCACTCACCACCACACTCATGAACCACACTGAGAAAAAAACAATCGAAACAAAACACAATACAACACAACACAGATTCGCGTCTTAGTCACTTAAATTTAGTAGTTCTAGCCCATTTCCTATAGAACGTATGTGTAGCAGTTAAACTTCAATATTCTGTTTACTCTCTATCTTTCTATCTATCTATCTATTCTTTTTTTTCTTCTATGCTATCCGATCTATCTCAAATTACCTCCTTTTCTACTATTTGTATCTGATTTTCTCTGTGCCCAACCGAATTCTAATCAATTGTTGTGTATATATTTCCCATTTTCAGACTTTCACCCTAATTTTATACAAAAGAATAAACTGAATTTTTTATAAACTATACCTACCAAAAACTATCTATCCTTCCCACTTCTCAGACTGAGTGCTCTATACTTTTCCTTTTAGCTATTTCTCTGCGATCTTTTCTTAACTTATAACTTTCTTAACCTCTTTTTGATAAATATAAAATTAGGCTTTATCTCAATATTATTATTTCCTAATATATTACATTTCTGATTCCTATATTTTACAATTTTCCTTTATATCTTTAAATTTACACATAAACCTGAATTTTCCTATTATATCTTTTGATTACATTTCTGGTTCCTATATTTCATAACTTTTTCTTTTTTTAATCTACTTAGAGACCTGAATTGTTCTATTATATTCATTTTATTTTACATTCCTATATCTAAACACTTTTATATTTCAAGTTCACTTAAAACTTTCGCTTTAAATATCTTCCCCCTTATCTTTCTAAATTTCTACCTTCATTTCTTCATCTTTTTCCTCACACTTACTTAAATTCCCATTATACTATGCTACTTTATAGTTGAAATTTGACAAACCCCAGGCTATTTATTGATTCAATCCGAGACTGTTATTATTTCAAATGCTATGTGTGCGAGCCCTCCAATATTTGACTTTATCTAATTTTTATATTTACCTCTTACCTATTTTATATAAGGCATTCTACTCATTCGACTGTAAATCTGTAAATGTAAGAAAATCCCATTAATTTTCTCTTCGTCTTTGATTAAAAAATGATTTCGAATCTATAGAAAATTAGTGTGCATCGTATCTTCTTTGGGGATAATTATGATCGCTTTTTGTATTTGAATCGAGCGAAGAGTGTGATCGACTAATCAATCAAACCTTTCACTGAACACGCAACTCTGGGAAAAATATACATGCATGTAATATCGGTTAATGGCGGTGGGCGGTTGGTTGGGTCCATTCATCCATTATGGCCCTTTGTCAATCCGACGGACAGAAAGAGTCGTTAATTACCCGAGTGGCCAAAGCAAAGCGAAAAAGAGCAGCAACCGCACATGTAAATGAAAATAAAAAGCAGCCAAGAGATGTTATGCAATCGCCGAAGCAGCAGCAGCAGCACAAGCAAAGCAAAGCAAAAGCAAAAGCAAAAGTTTTGCAATAGTTAACAATGTAACGGCAATCGGCAAACGGCATCCAATCATGAATGAAGCTTATGGTCTGCGCGAGCTTTGCCTTTTACTTTCAATCACACACGTTGGCAGAGAGGCCCGATTTCCTCCTCAGACCACAGGTTTTGGCGGTTTTTCTTTTCACCAGTTAGCTGAATGGAAAATGGCTAAATGAAAATGGTCCAAAAACGTTTCGTAATTCCTTGAAAATTCAAAGATGTCCAAGAATATGCAAAAATATTCATCCCGAAAGACGTCCTTATTTTTCCACTGCATACTTTTTGGCACCTTTATAAGTGATTTAAATACCAAAGTGATTTCAATACCCAAGTGATTTCAACACCCAAGTGGTTTCTTTAGTTTTTATATATTAACTTGATTTAGGATTTATAAAAATAGCATATTATAGTACTTACTTATAATCAATTTTTAATTTTCTTAAAATAAAAGTTTAAGTGAAACGGATGTAAACTACCTTTCAAAACAATTCTGCATACTTTCTGGAGATTGACAATGCTTAATATTTTGATAAAGGTTTCAAACATGTTTAAATATTATCAAAAGTATAACAAGCGAACGATTGCCTATTTTCTATTTCCTTCAGATAAGAAACTTTAATCTTTAAAACCTCTAGAGATATTATTCCCACCTTTTTCTATGAGTGTAATATTTTTAATCCGATCGATATAAAATTTGGTATTTAAGTGAGAATAAGGAAAACAAAGGTTTATCCTTTAGATCAGAAACCTCCAACTTTTTGATTTTCTTGTGGCGGATGAAAAATATTTGAGAAAATGGCTGAATTGGCAGCACTGCACAACCCAAATCCCGTTTTGCATTCACACCAACCACAAACAATGCAACAACAATGGCAGCTGTGACAACACACAGCACCACCCACCAAACACCGCCCCCCCTCCCCTTTAAACGCCCCCAAAAAGTTAAAAACCAAATTTTAAGTTTTGCAAAACTTTGGTGTCGTTTTGTGGGGTTTTTTGTTTTTGTATCGATTTGGTTTGGTTTTTTACTTAGTCGGTTTTTTGACCACGTTTCTTGTGTTTTTTTTTTTGGATTTTTTTTATTTGTTGGTTTGTTGTTTTTTCTGTGTTTTTTGTGTTTTTGCTGCCAACAAACGGCAAAAACAACGATCGAAGTCAACGCTGCGCAGTCGCAGCTCGGCCGCTTCTTCTTCTTCTTCTTGGAGCGCGGTATAAATCTTTTCAGTTGAGTTTGGAACGCGTAACCGTTAAAACGTACAGACCTCTTTGGAGCGGAAGTTTCAACATTTCTTTGGTTTCTGGTATCTGGGGGACTTTTTTGCTGCGCGTATTTGAATATATATATTTTTTTACGGTGCGTTCGTGTGATTTACTTGTGTTTCCTCAAGCATTTCCGTTATAATATCTGGTATTTATATTCGAAAATCAGGAACTAAAAATGCAGCGATTCCAAGTTTGCAGTGTCCTTATCCTCGCCTGGATTGCCTGTGGTAAGTACTTTGTTTACTATTATTATTATTTATTATTTTTAGGTCGCCTTGGTCGGTTTTTTTAACCCCACCCGCTTACAATTAGCGCAAACCTTTCAATTACTTGCGTGTGTGTGCCTCGAAAATGGAAGCTTTTACTTTCAAAAATTCCATTGCAATCGCGTGGAGTGTCCAAATGCGATATATTGTTAGTATATTGTGGATGTGGTGTACAAATGCCCCTTCGAATCGGCGAGACAAGACCGTTAGCTCTTTTGTTCTCACTTCGAAAATCGAGTTCGGATCTTAATAAATTTTAATTACTGGTTTCGACGACGAAGGCTAGCCCGCCTGCCTGCTCCACTTTGACCGAGACACCCCGATCTTAAGCTATATCCATTTAGTTATATAGATATAGCTGATTTGGCATGCAGATCAGGCTGAGCTCGATCACTTTTGCTTTTGTTACTGACTCACTTGGCCCGAGATCTTGGTGCTGGGCGCGGATAATACACTATATATGTATTATATATATATACCTCGGCTATCGGCAATCGGCAATCCGATCCGGCAAGTTAATGGACTAAATAAAACAAATGCCAAACCCAGTTAAAAGTAGAACTTGGTCCCGTCAAACCAGTTGACAATTACGTTTGATAGCGTTCGCATTATACGATCTAGTTCTGGGTTAATCAAGGCAACCAGTTTCGAGCAGCCCAAACCCAGCGGAAAGGTGGATAGATCAGATCAGATCGAATCGATAGGATCGAATAATTTGCCACACGCTTTGGCCTTTTCGATAAGCGATCGATTAAATATAAATCTTGAGAGTTTCTTTTCGAACATTTAGCAATAACAAGACATTGGATAGTTAAGATCTATTTTAAACGATCTATTATAGGGTAATTATTTTTGGACTGTCTAAACAAATAATTAAAGTTTCCAAAGATTAACGTTAATCGTTGACTATTATATAATAGTAAATACTTCAAATCATTTTAGATTTTATAAGTTTTAAAAAAATCCCCTGCGATAAGGAACTAAAATGATAAGATAAACTTATTGATAGCTTTTTCTCACCGAGACCAAGACAAATTACCGGAAATCTCTACAGATTTAAATATACACATATGATTTTCGGCTGTGGGCTTCGAGAAAATTGTAAGCAGACAGGTAGGCAGAAAACGGACAACGGACAAGAGACAACGGACAACGGACAAGAGACAACGGACAACAGTCAACCATCAACAGTCAACAATCAACCTGTTGCCCGATCTCGATGGCATCGGCATTTCGGTCTTACATCACACCAGTTCCCGAGCTCCCCAGCTCCCCAGCTCCAAAGCTCCATCTCCATTTCCATTTGCAAAGCGATTCGAATCGCTAGACGAGCTGCGAAGATGCGCGAAAGTGTCGTGGTCGCGATTGTGGCGTCACTTGCACTTGCATCAAAACCAGTTGGGCAGGTGGAAAGGTGGATCGGATGGGATAGGATCGGGAATGGGAATTGGGGGGAAGCTAATGGATAGAGATAGACCGACTGGCGGACAGGAAGGAAGTAGACGCCACTGCGATTCGGGTTTGACAATGGTGGGAAATCGTTGTTACCGTTTAAAAACAATCGATGCTATCTTGTCGCCTCGTCTATAAGTCCATAACTCTCAAGATTACTTCTGGGCAGCCATACATTTTTTTATTCGATCTAAACAGAACAAAAGTAAAGCCTTAATCGAGAGTTAAGCATTTTTCATATATTAAATTTAAAAAGATTCTCAAAAAAACATTTCAGAAATAAACGATTTTTTCAATGAAAAACACAGGAACAGATAAATATATTGGATACGCAATAAGAAATATCCACAGAAAAAAGGTGTCAGGATGAACTTGATATTCACAGATTAATCTAAGAGTATAATTTGTACCATTGAATTATGTAAAATAGATATTGGAAATGGTATTTTAATTCAATAAAAACCTATCAAAGTGATAATCTTCAAAATTATTACAAATATTATTTTTTTTACAGTGTATTAAAAAAAAATATTGGAAATGGTATTAGAATACAATACCAATTTATCAAAGTAATCATTTTCAAAATTATTACAAATATTAAATTTTATATCAGTGAGATTTTGAGGAATATTTAAATACCATTGTACCATTGAATAATGTAAAATAGATATTAGAAATGGTATTTCAATACAATAAAAACCTATCAAAGGATAATCTTGAAATTTATAATAAATATTATTTCTAATACATTTTTTATCAGTGTATTAAAAACAAGTGAGATTTTTAGGAATAGTTACATACCATTGTACCAATGATTAATGTAAAATAGATTTTGGAAATGGCATTTCAATACAATGAAAATGAAAAAAAAAATGAAAGTGATAATCTTTAAAATTATAACGAGTATTATTAGTAAGAAATTTTGTATCAGTGTATTTAGGAATAGTAACATATCTGATTAAGTTAATTTGAGTTTCATCCTGTTCGCTTTTGCAGGACATGCCCTGGCCGTGGGATCTCCGGAGTGCCCCGAGAAGTACGGCGAACAGGCCTACGCCCACACGGAGAACTGCGACCAGTTCTTCCTCTGCACCAACGGCACCCTGACCCTGGAGACCTGCGAGAACGGACTGCTCTTCGACGGCAAGGGCGCGGTGCACAATCACTGCAACTACAACTGGGCGGTGGACTGCAAGGGTCGCCACTGGGATCGTGAGTAGTCCTTCTTGGGTCCTTAGACACAGATCGAATATTTATCCCCCCTACTTAGCCACTCCCATCTCCACGCCGGCCTGCGAGTACCAGTTCGGTCTGTACGCGGTCTCCAAGGACTGCTCCACCACCTACATCAAGTGCGCCCACGGAGAGCCCCATGAGCAGGACTGCGACGCCGGTTTGGCCTACGACGAAAGGATCCACGGCTGCAACTGGCCCGATCAGCTGCTGGACCACTGCAATCCCGAGGGTGAGTTCTCTTGGGTTTTTCGAACCACTTACCAAATAAATGCCGTGTTTTGGGTTGCAAAAATATATCGTTGCATACTTTTAGACACTGTTTTAAGTGATTTCAAACTTTCTTTACAAATGCAAGGTATTCTTTTTAAAGTAAACTTTTTTTAAAATCACGGAAAAGGTCCAAAAACCAAATTGAAATCAATAATATTTTTATTTAAAATTTTCTTGCTAATTAAATTCATTTTTACTATGAATATCAGGCAAACCTAAAACAATTTTTCCCTTTTCTAAATATTTTTGAAATACTCTTTTTTTCAAATTTGGTAATTCGATTTCTGAAAATCGATTTTTGAAAATTCTTCCATTTAAATTTAAGGTATTTTTTGTTAAATAAAAAAGATTAAAAAGAAGTAAAAGACTAGACATTAAAAATGATTTACATAAAAAAAAACTGTTTGGTGAACAATATTCAAAAAAGAGGTTATCTCAAAAAAAATCTTTTTTTGGTTTTTTTGTTAAATAAAGAAGGTAAAAGACTAGACATTAAAAATGATTTACATAAAAAAAAAACTTTTTTGTGAAAAATATGTAAAAAAGAGGTTATTATTTCAGAAAAAAAAAATTTTTTTTTTAGGTTTTTAAATTCTAAAGAGTAGTAAAAAACTATTCCTTTTTCCAGCTGTCGTCGGCTTCAAGTGCCCCACCAAGGTGGATCCGAACTCGGTGGCCGCCCGCTTCTGGCCCTTCCCCCGCTTCCCGGTGTCCGGCGACTGCCACCGGCTGATCACCTGCGTGGAGGGGCATCCCCGCCTGATCAGCTGCGGCGAGGACAAGGTCTTCGACGAGCACACGCTGACCTGCGAGGAGCCGGAGTACGCCAGCGGAAGCTGTGCCAACTACGGCAAATAGAGGGATTGCCGATCGTCCTGTACATATATTTGCCCACGAACCGACTACAGTGCAATCTCGATAATGTGAACGTTTAAATTAAAGAAAAAATCCCTTTTGTTTGCTGCAACTTCTGAACGAGTTATTATGTTGGTTCCCTTGGTTTTCACTAATTCGAGTGTGCACTGTACTGTAAAGCCCCCACTAACTACTTTGACTTCCCCTTTTCTCTATCCAGCTTGCACTGTAAAAAACTTCCTAGCCCAATAGCTTGTTAACTCGTTGCTTTTTTAACGCCTCCACATTGTTTGTCTCTTTTCCTGTATTATTAACTTGTTTGCTGTTTGGTCTCTTTTGTATATGAATCGCAATAAAGTTAATTTTATTTATTGTACATTTCTAAAAAGTCATCGTTTGTGGGGTGGAAAAACTATTTTCTTAGAACCTTTATATATTTTTAAATTTTATATTGAGCTGTGGATAAAATATTTTAGATATTTTCTAGCTTTCCTTTAAAATGTTTCGATTTTAAATAAATTATTTAAAATGGTTCCTCATTTAATCAACATATGTGTACATTTTTTCAACACATTTCCTTCCAAGTTATTTTCAAATAAATAGAAACAGACGTAGTTTTGTTAATAAATCTTTTAATTATATTATATTAAATTGAAATATTCCAATTTATTCTAAAATATTAGCTTGTTGATCCACAAAAACCTAAGTATTAAACAAATATGTTTGGAAGCAAAGTATACCTATTGGTGATGTTTGTCAGAAGAGTTGTTTCACTATCATTTGGCAGCTGAAATCAAGCACGCGAAAATATAAATGCAGAATTGGCAACAGCCTTTCGAAACTAATTGATTGATCCAAGGTATTATGCCAATTTAGATAAGGAACACAAACTATGAATAAGTTAAGTGATGTAAAAAAAACAGTGCAGAATTAGTTCCCAGCTTGTAAATATTAATTGGGAAGCAATTCGGCGTACAGATCAATTAATTTCCTTGGCCAGAGAGACGCCAACATCTATCACATAGAAAATACATCGAAAAAAAAGGTAGGTGTAAACTAATTATTGCTCCTGGGGATTCAGTCGACCAGGTGACGGCCGTGGTCCTGGGGCGTCGAGAAGATGATGGCGTAGATGAGGCCGTCGCGAACGGATTCCGTGGGATTGCCCACGTTGAACATGAACTTGACGCGATTGCAGTTGGCATCGGGCACGCAGGAGTACATGGGATACCAGCCGGTCTTGTTGAACACCACGTAGATCTTGTAGATTTGATTGCGGTAGATGTAAACGGGCCGATCGAAGGTGATGTCCAGCAGGGAGTCGTAGCGCACTCGCGCAGTGCAGTGCGTATATGTGATCCTCGAGCCATGCATATCCTGAATGTGCGCGTACAGCACCTCGGTGTAGCGCTCTGTAAACCCGGCCGAGGTCATCAGCTCGCCGCACAGCACACGCGTCGGCACCTGGACGCCCAGTATCCAGATATTCGTGTCCACCTGGAAGGTAACGCCCGCATCCGTGACGCTGGTGTTGCGGAAATCGAACTGGCGGGTCAGCGAGCGCATGCAGTAGGCGCGCACCATGTCGTTGTGCGAGTTTCCAGCGGCGGAGGCAGCTGCCGGGGGAGCTGCTCCGCTGGCAGCCGCCGGTCCTCCTCGTTCGCCCGCCTCATCTTCGTTCGCAGGCGGCGGGGCAGCCGGTCCGCCGCCCTCGTAGCCCTCGCCAAAGCGGCCCTCGGGCGGCACGCCCACGGGCAGCTCCTCGCCGGCAAAGCCAAAGCCTGCGCTGATTGAACCAAAACGCGGGGCATTGCCCATCATCATTCCTCCGGCGACGACGCCTCCTCCTCCTCCTCCGCGGACTGCAGGACCTGCTCCCGGGAAGCAAACGCCGCCCGAGGGAGCGGCTCCCGTGCGATATGAAGAAGACAACTCGCGCTGGGCATGCCTATGCCCCGACTCGTAGAAATTACGCGTGCTGCGCGACACACAGAAGCCCTCGGGCATGTGGCAGTCATTGAGCGACGGGCTGGAGATCTTGATCAATATAGACAAAGCCTCGTGCTGCTGCAGCAGCTTGGAGCGCGCCGGACCCTCGGCAAACTGCTGGGGCGTCATGGTGAGGAAGCGGATCTTCTTCACCGCCTGACGCAGCATGGCGCCGTCGAGAATGGTGCGCTGGGCGTCCATGATGTTGATCATATTGGCGGCCGCATCGGCGGAGGCGTCGCTGTCGATGATGACCAGGTCGTCGGAGCCGGAGGCCACGTCCAAAGGCGGCGAGGCGGCGGCGGCAACGGCGGCGGAGGGAGCAGCAGCTGCCGCGGAAGTGGAGGCCGTCTCGAAGCTGTCGCCCTCGTCATCCTGATGCATATGCTGCACCATGGCCGCCACATCGGGCTCCATTTTGATCTCCTCGACGAGCACATGACCGGCGGCGCTGGTGTCGGGCGATTCCTTGGCAATTGGACCACCTTCCTGCCCAGATTCATTCAGGATGCCCCGCTCGCTGGCAAACTTAAGCAGACAGTTGAACAAATCCAGTTCGGAGTCGATATTCAGGCGGTTCTGGTCGAGAATGGCCATCAGGGTGGAGACCTCGATGTCCAGGAAGCTGGGATCGGACAGCACCTCGCGCGTATTGGCCGCAATCAGGTCCATGCTGCTCTGCATCAGCCGGGGTTCATCGAATAGCTTGGCGAACTCGTACGCCCGGCAGGCATTCTTTGGGCTGAGATCCGCCCAGAGGAAGTGGGTGCAGCGGGTGACCACGTGCGGCAGCATGTACTTCTTGGCCACGTAGCACAGCTCACAGGCCTTGTCGAACGAACCGATGGTGATGCGATCCGTGTAGATGTACTCCAGCATCGCCTCAAAGGCCTCCGGCTGAACGTCCGGGATGACAATGGGATCCGTTTTGTCCGGCAGATTGCCGTAGAACATACGCTCGAAGACCGGCGAGGCCATGGCCAGGAGCAGCTTGTGGCCGGCGATGAGGCGCTGGCTCGGCGAGGAGCCCGATCCCACCAAGAAACGGCAGTCGGCCCACTTCTCCGAGTGCAGCAGGTACTGCCCCCGGTCCTTCAGCTCCGTCAGGCTGTTCTGCCAGTCGATGTCCATGGTGCGGGTGCAGGTGCTCTGTGTGTGGGGATTTCTGGATGCGATCGGGATGCGAATGCGGTCAGGATCACTCGAGTCCAGGCTTTTGGCCCTCTGTTTTGTGCGAAAAAAACTCCAACTTTTTGCTTTGATTTGCGAACGAGACGGTGCGAACTCTGGCAACTCTGCTCCGGCGAGCTGGGTTGCCAGACGGTGCGAGTAGCAAGTAGCAGAGTAGCAGGTAACTGAAAGTCGTGACTTTTCTATTATTCGGAATTAAAAACAGAGAAATAAAGTCTGACTTAAAAAAATAAGGCACGAAAGTTTAAGACAAATTATAAGGTTTTTATGATAACTATGTTTTAGGGTAAAAAAATTAAGTGGAAAACTGCTACTTCTACAAATGATTGATATAACCAAAACCGTCCATTTTGTTAATTTTGATGTTTGTTTTCGTTTTTGTAAAGAAAATATACAACTTTTAAATAAATCTGAGCCTTTATAAATTAGTTAGCTATTCTCTAAACTGTTAAATTACTAAATTGTTGAAAATTCAACTGGAGTTAAATAAATAAAATAAGGTGAGTACTGTGGTTTTTTACGATTTAAGGCAATTTTCAACAGCCTTGTCTGAAAACTAGAAGTATCCTTTATATAGTACAACTGACTGAACTTCAACAATTCACCAATTCTAAAACTTAAAAAATCCCCTCTTAAAAATAGGTGATTTTCTAAATCACCAATCGATAGTTTCAGTTAAAAGAAAAGGTGTTGCCATACCAGCAGAAACATCGATAGTATCGCATGCATCGCATGTATCGCATTGAAAGCGAAAATATAAAGTAATTCGGCGCATTTAAAACCCGGGAAGGAGACAAGGGCTTAAAGGAGAAGACCAGATCTCAGGCTCATTAGTTAGGCGAACCAAAAACGAGGAAAATCGCGGGAAGGGCAGGCGCTTAAATAATAGTATCGTTTGTCACCTGCATCCGTGCGTGTGTGTGTGTGTGTGCGAGTGTAGTGTGCGTGCGTGCGTGTGTTTGTGCTTTGTTCTGCGAGCGTTTCGTTTTGGTGGAAATGGCAAAGAAAACCTACGATTTGCTCTTCAAACTGTTGCTGATCGGCGACTCGGGAGTGGGAAAGACGTGCATATTGTTCCGATTCTCGGATGATGCCTTTACCTCCACGTTTATATCGACCATAGGTGAGTAACGGGACCTTACGCACATCGGCACGCGTACATACATACATACACATGTCAGCTGCACAGCCTAAGGATATGTGCGGCTGTGTGTGTGGGTGTGACTGGGCGTGGCACTGCCTTATCGACTGACGGACGCACTGCTTGCTGCGATCGTCCTTGGAATTGTGATAATGCGAAAAACTTAAGAAATGTGACTATATTTGTACTAAACCCAAATCGGAACACGTAATACGGACGTGCAAACATTTAGCTGGAATGTCTGTTCCACCAAGCGAATGATTCATCCATCGTCATAACACTAGGGGGACTGCTTTAAATCCCCAAATTCCAAGTTCCATTACCCAAAATACGTAATGACGTCATGCGGCTACATTTACGTTTGTTTTTCCGCACTAAACATTTTGTATCGTATCTTTTTTCAGGCATCGATTTCAAAATCAAAACAGTCGAGCTGCGCGGCAAGAAGATCAAGCTGCAAATATGGGATACCGCCGGTCAGGAGCGATTCCACACGATAACCACCTCGTATTATAGGGGCGCCATGGGCATAATGCTCGTCTATGACATAACGAACGAGAAGAGTTTCGAGAATATAGTCAAATGGTTGCGGAATATAGACGAGGTAAGTTGGTCATGATCGATTATCAAAAACTAAATCCTAAATATATCTAAATATATCCAATTCCAGCACGCCAACGAGGATGTGGAGAAAATGATCCTGGGCAACAAGTGCGACATGACGGACAAGCGAGTGGTCAACAAGGAGCGCGGCGAAGCGGTGAGCATCTTTCAAGCCAAAACAGATCAGAGATCATTAATTGACAATACAATGGGGGTTCTCCTTTGTAGAGATCTATTATAGAGATCATCAGATCCTATCCTCAAACACTCTATCGTATTCTTAGGTTCTATAAGATTTTTTTAAAATGTTTTTGATATAAAAATTAGTATTCTTTGCATATTCCTAAATCATACAGCGATTATCTTGTTCCTATTATTTTCTAGAAATTAAATAATTATAGAGAAGGAAATACTAATCATCAGATCCTATCCTCAAACATTTCTGTTTAGCTGTATTCTATTGCATTTTTAGGTTCTATAGGATTTCCGAAATGTTTTTGAGAAGGTTAACTTTTGGAATATTCCTAAATTATACAGCGACTATCTTGATCCTAATATATTCTAGAAATTAAATAATAATAGAAAAGGATTTACTAATCATCAGATCCTATCCTCAAACATTTCTGTTTAGCTGAATTCCATAATATTTTTAGGTTCTATAAGATTTCCAAAATTGTATAAGATTTCCAAAATGTTTTTGATAAAGTTAACATATAGCGACTATCTTGGTCTTATTTTATTCTAGAAATTAAAAAAAAAGTAATAGTACTCTTTATAGTATTCTTTTTCCTATTATTTTATTTTATTTATCTGGAAAGAAAAACCAATATTATGTACTTTATAGTTTTCAATTAACTAAAAGAATGAATTTTTTGCATATAATAGTAGCACATAGGTATAAACTCTTTTAGATAGCTAGAAAGACTTTCAATTTATGTACTTGATAGCTTTCAAATTAACCAAAGCAAAGGAATATCCCCGGAAGAGCCAGACACACAATTTAGGTTAGAACTCATCGGGTTATTTATTGATTGCTCGTCAATGATCATTGATCACATATGTATGTGTTTTTTTTTTGCACGCCCCATGGCTGTGTTTGATCAATTTGTTTACAAAGTCCATAAACCCCCTCTCCTCCTTCTCCTTTCAGATTGCCCGTGAACACGGCATTCGGTTTATGGAAACATCCGCCAAATCGAACATAAACATCGAGCGGGCCTTCTGCGAGCTGGCCGAGGCCATTCTGGACAAGACATCGGGCCGCGAGTCGGCGGAGAATCCGGAGCGCGTGATCATCGATCGCCGGAACCAGGAGAAGGCGCCGGGCTACAGCAAGTGCTGTGCGTAAAAGGCGGCTCAACAGGCGAACGGGGCGTGGTTTAACCCGGTTTGTGCTTGGATGGATTCGGAATTGGATTGGATTGGATTGAATGGAGTGGGGATCGGTTTCTGAAACTGCTCCGCACAAAACGAGAGAGGGGAAACAAAGCAATAAACCCGGGGTCAATCGCACGGAGGGAACATACTTATAACGAGTATACGCAGATAGCAGATGGAACAAGAACAACAGCAGCAGAAACAACCTACCTAAAGTTTAACAACAGATATTGTAATACGAACATTTGGAAGCAACTTTACAAAACGAAAAAAAACACCCCGTATCCGGATGTGGTGGTCAGATAACAGATGGAATGGTCAGAGGATCACAAGATCAGTTCCAGCCACACGAAACGATTAAGATAACAAAGACGCAGACATAAGCAACTTTTGTAACGTAACTTTTGATATATATATAGTCTTACGATCCCTGTTCGTTCGCCATCACTCGCACTTCTTAAACCAACTATCCCAGCCCCGCTTAGTGTTTTGTTTTGTTTTGCGTTTCAGCCTAGATATAAATAACACCTATACATATTATACATCGGATAGTATATAGCCTATACATACCTAGCTTGCTTTCGCTTTGTTTTCTGTCGATACTAAGCCGGCGATACTAGGATTTCGATCGGGGGAGGTAGGGGATCCATAGATGCTCTGCAGTCACTCATCCAAGCCAGAGTCTGTTCCGAAATTGTTTTCTGATTATTGCCTATATATATATATATAAATACCATATATATTGCATCGTTTTTATGTGCATCCGCGCGCCCGCACACTCAATATATATATGTGTACACTTAAGGGGGCGTGGGTGTGCGCGCGTGTATATCTCCATGTTGTGTATGTAAGGACGGTGCACGCCATGAATGTAGTAGCAAAACCGCAGGAGAGGAGGAGCGGCGCCCCCAAAAAAAACCCAACGCCTCCTGCCTGTCTCCTTGTAATTTTATTCTACATCTTTTTTTTGTTCGTGTAAACCAATTATTTGTAACTGTATATGGATTTAGTTTAGTTGTCTACACCAAATGATTTACCGATTAAAAATATAAAGAACAACCTAAACCATGTCATATAAACCGAATGTCTACTTTTTTTGGCGGTAAATCAATACTCTTTTCCAACTGTGGAATGTATAAAATGTAACAATTTAATTGGAGAATCTTCGGTATAAAATACATCCTGCATCAGGTGAATAGAAAATATATGTTGCACTACTTGGCAGTGCGATGAACACATGTCCCCGCTATCCAGGTGGACAGCACCTGGAGCCGATCGTCCAGGAGTATGAAGTCCGCATCCGAGCCAAAGTCCAGGGTTCCCTTGCGATCCTCGATTTTCAGGCACTGGGCGGGATGCAAGGTGGCCGCCTCGATGGCATAGACGACGGAGCAATCTGTAAGACAAAGAGGATTTGATTATAAAACGAGAAAGGAAGCTATAAACCCTTGCAGATCATTCCTATTAATTTAGAAATCGCAAAAATTTTTAATTTCGTATGGTTTTGACATTAATTTTTCTATCCTTCCCTATGGCAGCTATATGATATAGTCGTCCGATTTTAGTTAAACACATTTCGAAATTCCTAGAGTAGAAAAGAATACAATACAAAAACCAACGGAGCTATAATTTGTTCCCAATTAATTTCCCAATAATTTTTCGATCGTTCCTATGGATTTCCTATTATTTGCCCATTAATTTTTGCGATCGTTATATGGCAGCTATATGATATAGTGATCCAATTTTTTAAATATTTAATTCAAAATTTAGAAATATTTAAAAAATTATATTCCCACAAGTAGAAGGTAATATTTCAAAAAACACCGAAACTAGAATTTTGTTCCATTATTTTTCCGATTATTCCTATGGGAGCTATAGGATATAGTCGTCCGATCCGGCTAATTCCGACTTATATACTACCTGCAATAGAAAGAAGACTTTTGGGAAAGTTTCAACCCGATAGCTTCAAAACTGAGAGACTAGTTAGACGGACGGACAAACGGACATGGCTAGATTGACTCGTCTAGTGATGCTGATCAAGAATAAAGATACTTTATGGGGTCGGAAACGTCTCCTTCTTTTGACTGAAATAATAATACCTTCTGCAAAGGTCAATTAATTCTTTAATAATAATCCTCACCCGTGGCCTTTTGGAAGATCCGCACGCACTCGTCCATGGGCGCGATGCTGCCGCAGAGGGTTTCCGTGCCGGCAATAAATGCCTTGCCCTGCTTCACCTGCAGGGGCAGCTGTCCGATGTGGTGGACGCCCTCCTCCAACCCCAAAGCCGAGATGGCATCGGTGACCAGGATGAGGCCCTGCGGATGCGTACGATAGGCGATCCTCAGCGCTGCCGGATGCGTGTGCACACCATCCGCAATGATGCCAAAGTAGACGGTGCGACCGCGAGGCACTGCGTCCGAGGCGAGCAGTCCGACCAGGCCGGGATCGCGGTGATGGAACGGCAGCATGGCGTTGAACAGATGCGTGATCAGCGAGGCGCCCTGCTGAACGGCACGTTCGCCGTCGCTCAGCGAGGCCATCGAGTGGCCCAGGGCCACGGTGATGCCGCGGTCCACCAGCTGGCCAATTACCTCCCGATCCGTGACCTTCTCCGGCGCCAAGGTGATGATCTTAAGGCGCTCCAAGGAGCCGTAGGTGGCCTCCAGTGTGCCGAGTCCCTGGAGGGTTACAAAAATAGCTTATCAAATATATTAAATTACTATCAATAACTTATAAACAAACCTTATCAATGGTCTGAATGCAGTTCTCCGGATGCGCACCCTTCTTCTGGGGATTGATGAACGGACCCTCGGCATGGATGCCCAGGATGCCGGCGCCCTTGGGCACTTCGCTGGGAATGCGCGGCAGTATTGTGTGGTAGCTGTCGTTCGGCGAGGTCACCAGCGTTGGACAGAAGGAGGTGACCCCGCTTTTCACCAGCCCGCGAGCCACCGTGGCCACGCCCTCCTCGATGGTCTCCGTGTCGTAGGAGAAGTCCACGCCATAGCCACCTTTATAAGGGAAATAACAAATTAATATCAAAGTTACGATTTATATAACATTAAAAATTTAATAATAATTATTTTATAGAAGCCAAGTTTCTGAATATACTTTTTCCCGACCAACAAATATGTCTGAGTGCATATTAATTATAATTATTATCATAATTACAACCTCTATGGCCAGATAAAAAGAGAAATTGATAAAACGTCCCATTTATTTCCATGATGGGACCCGAAATGCGAATTGATTATACATATATTGATTTATGTCTTAATATAAATAATAATCAAATTAAAATAATAACAAATTTAATAAATAACATTTCAGAATTGAATATTTTAATAGATCATCTTTATGGCAAGATACAAATTTAAATTGTTGTAAGACCAAATTTATTTATAAAATGATTTCCGAAATAAATATATAAAAATAAAAGTAAAGTTCATAAATATTGGTATATATTTTGGTCCATAAAAATATCTATTAGTGCTAATACATAATTATATCATCTTTATAGTAAGATAACAATGAAAACAGATATAATACAAAAAGATGAAACCCGAAATAAGATTAGGATCTTTAAAATACAGGTACATTTAGCTCCGTCTAATAAATAGATAATCTTTATCGCAAAATTCCCCTTTGTCTCTGGAAGACAAAGAACCCGATTATCGCGACTTTAGTTTAACCACAGTGGGCCTTCGATGCAAATGCCCACTGTACGGTACTTGTGGCTGAGCTTGGGGCCTCTGAAGTCACGATAAGATTAACTCGCTCCGATTACGAGTGCTCCATATTTGTGGCCCCTCAACGGGTAAACAGAACCGATGACCTTGGAGGCTGATTGAATCGCGGCGAAAGTGCCAATTGATGGGATCGCGGGCAGAATATCATTTATTATATATATCTTTTGCTTATGTTAATAAATATTAATGAAATCTATTTTATTAGCATTTTTCCAGGGCTTGGTAACAAAATACCGAGTTCAAATACCACTGCTAAACCAAGTTTTTTTCTATTTAACTAATAAAATTACTGTTTGATTTAACTAACAAATTGAAATTTAAAAGAATTAAATGAAAATATATTAAATTAAACATCAAGGGGATGGATGAAGATCTTTTTGATAATTTCCTTATAATTTAAAATCCGATATGGACTTTGATTATGATTACGAATTATTCATTTTGTATGATATGCAAATATATGTATATATATTTTTTATCTGTGTAAAAATGATTTAAAATTATTTGGACCTTCGAACTAAATTAATTCCAATAATCAAATCGTTTTTTTCGGTGTAAGGTCAGGGGGTCAGGGACTCACCGTTGATCTGGAGGTCGATGTAGCCGGGTGCGATGATGGCGCCTCCGCAATCGATGCGCCTGTGGGACTTCACCTGCTCCTCGAAGAAGACGGGCTCCGGATTCACGATGCGTCCGTTGCGAACCCACAGATCCTCCTGGATGATCCGGTGGCCACGTACCAGGCGGCAGTTGGTGAACTGCAGCAGGCAGTTGCCGCTCGTCGTCTTCTCCTCCCAGGTGCACTGCATCCGGACGTCAATTGGAGGCTGGGGGCGGGGGGCGTGGCTGGCGATCCGGGCGGAATGAGCGATGGCTCACAAATAAACAACAGAAAGTAAACGTAAACTAAACGAAAACGAAAAAAACGAACTTATCAATCAGCTGGTAGGGTGACCAGCTTGGCTATTTTATAGCCAGCAAAATTGGCTAATTTTAATTAAAAAGTACATTCAACAAATTAAAAATAAATTATTTAATTTTTATTTAAATTTATAGGGAGCACTTTTTTTTATTTATAATTATGCTAACCTCTTTTTATAAAGTTTTAAAACTTTATTTTTTTCCCATTTCAAGTGAGATCAATTTATTTACTACTTTGAAAGAGAAGGCTTATTAAAATTCCTGCATTTATTTCCATAATTTTTAAATGAAAAAAAAAGAATTTTGTAAAAGAAAACTCTTATCTTTTAATAGCTACTTTTAGCTACTTCTAGCTAGCACTGAGAGTGCCGCAGCAGACAGCTTTTTTTTTATCTCAACGATTCCATTCGATTGCCGCCAATCGTTATCGATTAGATTTAAATTTAAATTTCAAGAATTTGTAATTTAAATTGTTACGTGGAAAAGCCAAGCTTTTGTTTAACCATTCGTCGCGGCCTTGTGCTCCCACCCCGTCCAATTTGTTTTTATAGCCAAAGTGTCGACTCCTTCGATGGCATCTCGTGGACGCTGCATAAAATTGCAATATTTACCCAACAAGCCGACAGTGAGCAGGCCGAAAATGCAAATGCAAATGATAATGACGACACGGCACCCAAACAGCAACAACAAAGAGCTTCAGGTGACTATGTGCACTGCGAGAAAAAAATATGTGTGATTGACTTCAATTTGTGATACAACAAATTAATGGTTAAGTATTTAAATGTTTAATTTAATTGGAAAATTTGTTAATTTCTATGTAAAAACAAAAATATTTATATTTAAATATGTGATATAATTATAATTGTTATTTATGTCATATTTGGAATAATATTTATTAAATATATTGCTAAAAATAAGTTGATAAAAGGGTTGGTTGAGTAAAGATCACAGATTTTATAAAATATATTTCTAAATTTTGGTATTTTTAAGTTTTTATGTTAAAAGGTTTTGGATACAGGAGAGAAGTCTCTTTTTTTTAAGATTTTTTCAATATTAGGATGGATTACAACTTTTGATATATGGTATATGAATTTCTTCTTTTCTGATGAACATTAAAAAATAATATTAAAAGGGACTAATGGAAGATCATCATTGCATTTTTCTTCGAGTGCCCTGTTTTTTGACGTGCTCCTGGGCTCCTCTGTCTCAGCTAATCCACAATGGCCGACATTTTAAATACAAATTGCAGCGCTGTTGCTGTTGTGCCCATTCAGCCCATCCAGTCCACCATCCACCATCCCACTGCCACTTCCACCTCCAAATGAGTTGCAATTTTTGCACACACCCAAACACACATTGTACTAGTGAACACCCGGTTCCTGAAACATGAACTCCACTCGAGAGGTGGGATAGGTTCGTTCTTTTTTGTCTATTGGCAACTGATTAGCATTTAAATTAAAATGTCGCAAAGTGGCCTTACCAAAATGTTCCACTCTTTGTGTGCTTGTCCCCATGTTTCCCCTTTATGGCCACAGAAATCTCTAGTGATTTCAAATCACTTGATAGTGTGCACAAAAGTATGCTTTAAACATTGTACTTGGACTTTCAATATATAAAGATTTTTAAGATAATTTGATATGAATTCTAAACATTTTTGCAAGGCGAAGTTATTTTGCCAACTTGTTTTAAAAAGCTTTTATTGTATAAAATTAAAATAAAATGCAAGCCAAGAAATGATTTGACACATTATCCTTGTTGGGCAATAAGAAAAACAAAGGGTTGCCACTTTGTTCAACAAATATTAGAGATTTTACTTTGTAAGAAGGCTTTAAGGTACTTTTTAGATCAAAACATAAACAAAAAATATTTTGTTACAAAAGAATATTTTTAACAGGTTTTATACAAGTAGTTTTAAGTTATTATATCTATAAAGTGTTGTACAACCAATTTTTCATTAATTAAAAGAATAAGTATTGTAAAATACAAATTTAACCAAGTACTTCTTAGTATTATAAAGTTTAGTGCTGTTGAACATTTTCTCATAAACGTCAAATGTCAAGCAAGTGTCAAAAAATATACCTGTCCCACTTTCACAATTTTTCTGTGCTGAAGACTACATCTCGAGGTGAGCCCCCAAAACTTATGTGCAATTAAAACAATTATTTTATTGTTTTTATCTAATGTTTAAAGGAAAATGTTTTACGCTATGAAAAAAATCAATGGATGCCAGTGCAAGCACTGTGTCCCTATCAAGGGGCCTAATTTCCCTGGCCTGCGTGCGAATTCTGGTAAGGGAATTTTGGACCGAATGAGACTGGCCAAGGAACAAGAGTTGCGGGCCAGCAGGCCAGATAAATATCCGCCGCTGCCCAAGATTAAGAAGCAGGAGAATATTCGACAGGTGTGCGTAGAATGTAGTAATTTGCTTGTGGAAATTATGAGAAAACAATTTCGGTACAAACTTAGGAAACTAAGTGCAGGCCACAGACCACCAAAGTAAGTGTTTCATGAAAAATTAATGTGAAAATTAAAACAACAAAATTTCCCAAATAGGAGATCTCCATTTTGTTCCACTGAATTGGAGAAATGGACGAGGGCTGAAATATCAAATGCCTTCGATCGCTTGAAGGCCAAGAGGTTTCGCAAATTGTTGAAAGACGGCAGGGACTTTCAGCCGACTAAACGTAATCTCAAGAAAAGGCCAATTTCTTCAAGAGAACTTAAGAAATGGACACGCAACGAAGTAGAAAATGCCCTCGATCGCTTCGATCGAGCAGGGACATTCAACCGACTACGAGATATCTCGCGATTCAGAATTAAACGGGAATTTTAAAAATCTGTACATGCCGAAGGTCTTGTGGTACACAGATTACTGTAAAATGATCCCTGTTTGTGGAATAAAGTGGACTTTCAGTCCAGAAATAACAATAAACGTTGCGGGAGATTTTTGTGATAATTTTTTTCTCACTTTCTTAAATCAATTAACCAGATAATCATAATGGCATCGTCTTTATACTTCGCAAAATAGTTTTATTAGATAAGCCAAAGTTGAAATAATGGTGAACCTTTTGTACATATATTTGAATCTTCAATTCGTGCAGAAAATCGATTTTGTTCGCCTTTATTATTTTTCTATCAGGTCAAAGAGCGCCAAAAGCATACAAGCTTAATTATGACAATTTATTGTTTTTGAATGAATAATGTTAATTGAGTTGTTTCGCAAAACGGCATGTGTATGTTTGCTTATTATATGTACTCGATTGAACATATATTCATCTATTTATATACCTACAGACATACATATATATACATATATATTCAAATTCTCCTTAATAAAATTGTCATGTGTGTTTATCAGAATCGCCGAAATTCACTAATTAATTAGTTCAATTCATTGGTTTTGGCGAGCATAGAATTTACTTAAAAAAACAAACTAAAAAAACAAATACTTGGTAACACCTTCAGAACAGTTTTCTCATCAATTTGATAAATTTAAAGTAGGGTTCCTTGAAAAAGTATGGGGAATCAGAGTTTAAAGCTTCCTTTAAATTTAGATATTTTTTAAACAAGTTTTTTATTTATTTGAATTTTGGGAATTAATAAATACAGTTTATAACCAAATAAATTATCTATGAACATTTTTTTTAGAACTAAAAGAATTACTATTAAGAAAATATTTATTTTAATATAGGGAAATTAAAAATATCCAGGATTTATTTGTGGGGGGATTTCAGAACAATCTTGTTGTTGCCTTCTTTTTAAATATCACATTTACCAGTACTTTTCACCGGAGTGGGGGGGATTTATCACCCAAATCCTTTCCCGTTCATTCAAGGAACTTTTTTTAAATACCCAGTGACTTACCGTCTAAAGTTGATTCGTCTCCTTGACATTGATCGAGTCCTTTTCCCCTTCGATGTCTCGACTCCTGTCCATTTTTCATGGTCAGTTATTGCCCCTTGGGCTGGGAGGCCTTCTGTTCCGAGTCCCCAGCCGATATCCTTGGGCCCCCGGTGGCCCACACTCCGAAAAGGACCCTATGCATATGTATGCGCTACTTACTACATATATGTATGTATGGTATGTGCGTGAGATTGTGTGTCATCTATGCTCACGTATCAATAAGTGCTCGAGACGTGAACTGAATTTTTTATTAGAGTTTGTGTATGCACAATAGTGAATGTCCCCGGACCAGGAGCCACAGGACCAATGCCAGGATGAAGACGAAGACGAAGACGTTCCTCGTGGGCCTGGACGTGGGTGGGGATGCGAAATTGCCTGTGAAATATTTTTTATATACACACACATTGAGGCAATACGGACCTCCACAGCTCGGGTCATCGCATTAGGTTTATTTCAGGGACCGAAAATAATTATAATTAAATTAAAATTGTATATTCTATATATTATATGTTACAGCAAAGAAAAAAACTCGTTATTAATTTTCCAATCGATTGGCATTTAAACATGGACATTTTATTTTTTGGCAATTTTTTGCAAAAAATCATGATGTATGTACCCCTTATAAAAAAAATAAAATTTACAAAAATTTAATTTTTTCAAAATCATACGGAAAGTGGTATGGATTTATTTATTATTTTGTTATCTGTTCAAAACAGTGCGTATTTTTTGTTTAAGACCATTTTTGGCCAAGTTACAGGAAAAAAAGGAAAAATCATATTTTTGTCAAAAACCGAAATCCCGAATACCCAAAAAAAAAACAACAGTCTTTTGGACGACACAACGGAAATATTGATCCAAATATGGATTTTCATACCTCTCAGAACTTGTTATTATACCCTTGCAGAGGGTATTATGATTTCAGTCAGAAGTTTGCAACGCAGTGAAGGAGACGTTTTCGACCCCATAAAGTATATATATTCTTGATCAGCATCACAAGACGAGTCGATCTAGCCATGTCCGTCTGTCCGTCCGTCTGTCCGTCTGTCCGTCTGTCCGTCTGTCTGTTTCTACGCAAACTAGTCTCTCAGTTTTTGAGCTATCGATACAAAACTTT